TCATTAGCTGGAAAATGTATTTTTAAAACTAGATTAGTTGCAGAAATTTTTTTAGCCATTATGACACTTGCTAGCCCTTGATGTGGGTCAGGCGATTTAAAATGTCATCAAGAAATCTTTGCAACTGGAATAATATTTTTATAAACCATTTAGCTTTTTTACATGAATTTTTGATTAATATGATAGCTAGTTATTTCTCTTCTCAAACCACAGAAACTTGTTATAACCGAGTTGGGTAGAAAAGGCTGTACTAAGAATTACTTTTCTAAATGCTTAATCATTCTTTATTGTTGTTTCCGTAGGCTCTCTTTATATTTGTCTGGCTCTTGCCAGTCTGTGTGCATATAGCTCTGGATCCAGCCAGATGTATTTCGTCTTCAGCTGGTGACTGCCTGCAGTGTATGGAGGAGAGATGCAGGTTTAGGGGTGAGAAGACACCAGTTGTACGGAAATCGAAGCTCACAGTGTAACTTGTTGTACTTGTTTGAGAACCGTTCCTAAAGAGTATGGTGGGCAGTGAATTGTTAGTGAAGAATCACCTTTAGAGCTCATGATGCAGGCTCTTTGAATCAGGTGTAAAAAAAGTGAAGTCCTCAACTGTACAGCCAATTCACTTACTGAAGTCTTCACAAGACGCATTTTAAAACAGTTAATAAACATTGTGTAATTGTGCTAATGCAACAGTAATAGCTGTTGTCAGTTTTTTGCTTTTGTGCCTGCAAGGAGAGCAACTCAGAGTTCTTGGTGATATAAATTAATTTAGAAACATTACCCTGTTTTGTCACATGTAGAATGCTCTTAATAGTTGAAACATCAAGGTGCTGGGAATTTGTTTTTTTACTTTCTGGAAAGTACTACTGAAGAAACCATTTTAGCAGCAACAATTAAGAATGTCATAGCCCCAAAGTAGTATAAAAATGTTTTACCTGGTTTGTATAAATTATTTTTTCTGGAGATATTTACTGATGAACAAGTTTGAAGTCTTAAATATTTTTTTTTTTACTTAAATGTCTCCATTACTTCCCAAGCAGCTGCAATTTGACTAGTGGGAATGGATGCTACTGACTTGTTTGTGGTTCTTTTGTTTGTTTAATTAATGCAGTATCATTTGTTTGTTTAATTAATGCGGTATCTGCCATTAGTCTCACTAATTTTTTTTGGAAGCGTAATATGTATTGACTGTGAGAGCAGCTCTGAACTTTTCTAAACTATTACCCAGTCATGACAGCTACCTACATTACTGTGATTACCCCAGATAGAAAAGTGGAAACTTAAATCCTTCTCTAATATTATTTCTACCTCTGGAATAGATTTCTCCAGTAATAAGCAGAAAACAGTGAACATTATTTTTAAATACTTGGAAGAGGCTAAAAAAGATGCTGTGTTATGTATCTTAATTGCAAATTATAGAGAAGTCCTTAAGCACATACTTTCAGGTTCTGTTGTAATCAACTTCCTAAGTATTTCTTAGTTGCTTCTGCTAGCACTGACTAAGTCTGGTAATGATATTTCTGAGTGAGTTTTTTCTGTGGATTGTGCTGTATCACTTATCCACTGTGCATGTAGCGGAGGACAAAAGTGCAGTACTGTGCTGCTACAAAAAGTTAGCTGGCTGGTGTCCAATTTCTTCCCTGAACCTCCCCCCACCCCAGATTACAAACTCCAAGGAAATTCTTCCTGGTTCAGGGGAGGTAAGCTGACTATGCTTTTGCATGGAGCTGCCAATTTCTTAAATTTACGATGCTTAAGGTTGGGGGCTTGTTTTTTTGAGGGGGACGTGTGTGTGCGGTTAAATACATTTCTCCATGTTCTCGTTGTTGCGTCTTGCATCATAGTTTGAGCTTACAGTTTCTTCTTCTAGCAAAATTGAAGTGTTACTTCCAGAGGCTGTTCTTCCCCTGTAAGAGGATCGAATGAATAAAAAAATTTTGACTTCATGCTAAGAGTTTTAGCTATTCACTTACAGGCTTCTCTTTCATTTTGGAGAGGTCAGGTTAGAACTGAACAACAGGAGAAGGTTAATGTGGGGAAAGCTGAGAGAATTGGAGTTTGAAGAAAAAGAGCAAGCCCTTAAGGTAGACTTATATTTACCATTCCTATGTACCCTTATTTAAAATATGATTCATGAGATAGTTATGTAGGCTTTCAACTTCTGAAAGATTTTTTGTTAGACTGTATAGTGCTCTGTTTTCTGTGAACTGATGACACGCTGAACAGAGAAGGAACCTAGTGATTTAAAAAATACACCTTGATCTTCAAACTTGCCGGTAAAACTTGTATTCTCCCTGTAAAAAAACAGCCTGGCATTCCCAATCTTTTCATATTTGGGGTTGTCTTGGATTGCAAGTGTAGTGGGAGATGTTGCTGGATTCTGAAAGTTAAGAGATTTTATTCACGGGTTTAGTTACATTAGCAGATGCCATGCAAATAGAAGTGATTATACTTGTTTCAACGTACAGCTAGTTGATCGCTGGAATGTGTCCATTCCTCTCAATTCTTGTGTGAAAGTGAGTTACTTAGAGTTTGGCTACAACGGTGGCAGATGCTGATGTGGCAACCCAGGCCGAACATTCTTTCCTGCTTCCGTCAGCAGTGCGAATTCTTAGTTTAAAGGTCAAAGTAACTTAACTAGTAAGGCCGACTCATGCAGATGTGGACTGTTTGAATGCGGTGTACTTTCGATTGTACCCCCTTTGCACCTGTATTAAGGGTTTCTTTTTGAATCGATGAATTTGATGTAGTCACAGGCAATGAATTAAAATGCTGATGTTTCAGAGTTTCAGTCATTCGAATAGTGCCTCAGTGGAAAAAGATGTGCTCTGCAGATAGTAATAGATTTGCTGAAACTAGCTCATGAAACTGAAAATACTCAAATATTCTTGCAAACTATTTTTATTAAAGGTGTTTAAAGAAAAAGGAGCCTGCTTACATGGAGATGTGAAATTTCTCTTCCAGCAAAAGACATCTTTTGACCTATATTGTTCCCATTCTGGCCTCATAGTTTGTGCTGTGCAGAAAGACTGTGTTTATACTTGGTTACGTACTTCAGTCAGTTATACCAGGCATATTATGTGGTGTGTTATACATACATAACAGTAATGTTTATGCATTACACAACCCTGTTCTCCCAATATTAGTCGTCTGCTATGAAGATTCAGTTGCACCACGGATTCTTGATAACCAAGAGTCATTTGATCGTGCTTCAGAGTATACTGTCTGGACCTGTATGTCCCTATGGGTTGAAAGGCATGTCTCCAAACACCTGTGTTTGTGTTTCTCCAGTCCTGAGGATGCCACATTGCCAATAGTGACATAGAGATTTGAAGGCATTAATCCTGTATGATACATTTTTTTGTCTACAACATCCCTGACTCTGAAAGGTACAAGGCCAAATCAGGTGGATTTGACTTCATGAACTTCAAGAAATGCAGTTTCATTTACTGTTTCAAAAGAACCACAACCCCACAATGCTAGTATTAACTAGTCACCTTTTTTTTAATTATTATTTTTATTTCAGCCTTCATGTCAGTCCATGATAGCTAGCTTATGTGAACAGCTGTTCTTTCCCAAGACAACTGTATTTTATAATTAATTTTCGTTTGAAATGCAAACCAAACGTTTTAATAATTTGATGTTTATACAGGTTCCTATCTGTGGTGGTAGATTAACTAACCGTACAGTAATTTTTCTCACTTTTTGCTATAATCCTTCATGGTCAGCATGGTTTTATTCTGGAAAGATGTTACTGCTTCCATCTGCTAACTCCAGAATGTCAAGGTTGCTTTGGTTTTACCTTAGCTAGCATATATCTTTGTCCTTGCTGCATAAGAAAGCTGTAGTATCCGTCAAAGAATAACAGATATGAGTTTTTTATTTTGCTATATAATGGTAATGGAATTAAGGCACTAGACATCAGCTAAGGTAAGCAAGGCAGGAAAGAGATTGAGGTATCCTTGCGGTGTCAAACTTATCTGGAACTGCACCTGCTTTGGTTTCTGCCATGTCTTACGCAGTTACATTGCCTACCCTTGTATAAAATAAATGTTTTGTTGGTTGAAAACAAGGTAAAGATCACATAGTTTTGTGTACATATCTCTAACTTGTCTGCAATGCCTGTTTCATGAAGTTTGCTTTGTTTACTAGCATAATGCTCACAACATGGATGAGCTGGATGACGTTATAATACTTAAAACTGTAGGTAATTTTTCGCTAAAAAAAAAAAAGTTGATGAAATGCATGACAACCCAGACAAATAATGAATACTTTAATGATGCTATATGGAGTTTTAAAATGACTTAATTTCACTAGAGAATGAAATGTGAAATTTAAAAAGAAGAAAATTGGAAGCTTTCTGCATCTAGAAACTGATACTGTGTAATGGTCTGTTTAAAGGAGGAGAATCAATGCTCAGTCATCTCCTTTCTTAGTAGGTCTTAGGTTTATTGTTAATCTGCTGTAGGGAGATATATTCTTGTGAATTACTGTAATAAAAGTCTACCTGTTGGTTTATGCCTGCTGCATTAATAGTATAAACATTGATCTGGCAAAACGAACTGAAGAAACATGAACATTTTACAGTCTATAATATTTGTAATCCATCTTGGCAAAGAATGAATTGGAGATACTGAAAAATTCAACACATATTTAGTTAATGGAAACAGTTGAATGCTATTTTATTGAATCAGAATTAGCATTAATACGTATCATTTATTTTAGGATTATTAAGACAGATTGCACAGCTATTGCAATGTGCATTCTCTGTTCATTGTCTTATTTTGCTTTTATACTCTTTATAGGCATATAGGATGATATGACTGACTAAATTTTTTGCACTGAAATTACGTCCTAGACACTAAGTGCTGCTTGTGGTTAGGTTGCATGTGAGTGTCTGGTGTATGTATATATAGGGAGAGAAAAAAAACCACAGGAATGTAAGTCAGTAACTGTTACCTCTTTTGAAGTGACATCTTGTTTCAATTGTAGTTTTTCTTTTATTTTAGAGGAAGCCCGCATCTGAAAGGAACCCCACATTATAAGGAAGAACAATGTGCTCCTTCGTTAAATCTAGAAATGAAGAAAGTGCTGGACTTGCAAGCGTCTATCACAAGGTATGTTCACTAATCATGTCTTAAGAATTTTTGTGCACATAGTGGTTACTTGTTAAAAACTGAAGGGCAAACTGAATGGAAGAATACTTTAAGTTTTTAGACTTATTAATAGTAAGGACTAGTAGTAATACACTAATAGTAAGTCTAAGGAGGTGAAAAAGTAAATTGCTGTTTAAGAACTCTTTCTTCCTGTGCTTGGTTATCCTGATATTTTTGGCGTATAGAAGTATATAGCACGTATATGTTCAGTATTACATTATGTTACTATGAGTGTGTTTGTCCTTGGCCTCACGGTATGGATTAGAGATTTCACGGAGACATCGGCACACAAGAGTGAAACTGTATGTAGCATTTCAGCATTTCTTCGGCTGCCTGCAGAAGGTCCCTGTTTGTCCTCAAAAAACTTTTTGTTTACCTCTTCCTTTTTTGTGGCAGTTGCCTTCCCTATAAATAAGCTTTGAACTTGCTAAATAAGAGTGTGTGAAAAGTTGGTGAAACTGTATAGCAGTAGGGTGGAGTGGAAAAATAACAAAATGCAATTTGGGAAGAGGCTGCATAGGAGAAAATGGATATTGGAAGAAATGCATTACACACTGGAAGAAGCTTTCCTGGGAAGCTTCAGGCTGTTATCTGTAGGCAAATAGATTAACAGTAGTTTTCTGAATTTTGGAGATGCTTGGGGAACGATTTAGAAGTCGATTTTCTTCTTAGGCCATGGGTTAGAGGGTGTTGTGGATTATTTACAGCCTAGGCAATACTGGCAGTTTGCTAGGATAGATGAATAATTGATTGTTGGCAGCAGTGTCTTATGTTTAGTCAAAAGTATTAAAATAATCTTCACCAGTTCATATACCAGTTAAAGACTTACTTTTAACAATACAGACCTGTTCACGATCTCTCGTCCCAGGAGAAAAATAGACATATACCGTATTTTGTCAGCTTGGTGCCTTTGCTGTCTAGAGACTTAGGGAAGTAGTTTGTAACTTACTGATGTAACTTCTCAAAATAGTTGCTTGTACGAGAGCAGTAATATGGTGTTTGTTACATTAATTGATTTTTTTCTGTGAGGTTGATTTGAGATAGTTTTTTAGAGAATGACAAATGCATTTGTTAGTTTGCAGTCCACTTTAGAGGATCTACTTGTTGCTACTACTGATGGATTTCTCCATCTCGTTCACTGGGATGGTATGACCAATGGAAGGAAGGCCATCAACCTCTGTACAGTTCCATTTTCTGTGGACCTCCAGTCTTCTCGAGGTAAGTTTTGGGGGTTTTTTATTGCTTATTATAGTTGACTGTTGGTGAAATGCCATCTAATACAAAATTTTACCTCTGTTCTCAAGCAGAGGTAAGAAAAATGTGCCCTTTGTAAATGTAAACAAAACAGCCTGTTTAAATTACTTTTTTCTGTGAAGTAATAAGTAAACAACTGAGAAGTCTGTTGGCTTGCAATATCACTGTGTTGACATGTTTTTAAATTACTGTTATTTTCTCAGCAGGTTCATTTTTGGGCTTTGAAGATGTTTACATCAGAGATATGGAATACTGTGCTACACTTGATGGTTTTGCTGTTGTTTTTAATGATGGCAGAGTTGGTTTCATTACACCAATGTCAAGAAGATTTGCTGCTGAGGTATATTTCCTTTAGCATTTCTAGTATGCGCTCTACAATAAATGTGTTTTCCTTGGTCTCTGCATTTCAGTTAGCTTTCTACTTTAAATTCTGTTCAGCTGCAAAGAAATTAAAATTTGGCAACTGCTTAAGAGGTAACATAAGAGCAAGACTATATTTCATACCATAATTTGAATTAGATTGTTCTAGGGATAGTACCTGTCTATGGGAGAGCATAATTAATAGTAGATTTAATTGTTCTTTATTGCTTCAAAATATTGTTATAGTTTGAGGTCGTGTACTGTCTCTGAGACAGATTTCCTGTTGCTAGTTATAAGTGGGAAGATAAGAGGTGGTTTCTCCTACGACTAATTACCGTAAGTGCTATTTCTAGCTTTTAGCTGTAATCAAGTCTAACTCTTCTCATTATGACAAGCATACTTCAGAATTTGCTTTAAAGAATTCTTTTCTAGGTTGGGTGTTTCCTTACCTGTAATTCAGCCCATAAACTGTACTAGATTTTGTCACTAGATCTATTTAATTATAGAAAAACACAGAAGGATTTATGTAGTCTGTCCCAGACTCCTTCACACACTTAAAATATCTGCAATTTCAGCTGTTGCAGATGAGAATTTGTTTTCCTGTTTTGTGTTTTGTCTTCATACTTAGTACCATGTACTGATTTGTATGCAGTGTCAGGGATATTCTTGCCTTATAGATATTGGCTTACTTTGGTTATTCAGAGATCTTTCTGGCATCTTTCTGTAATTTTTATTAAGAACAATGAAATTAGTTTTACGTATACTGGATTTTGTTTATCTGAGCCATGTCAGATAAGCTTGACATTTGCAACAGAAATCTCCTGAGGTGATGAAGGTCAACTGGCAGATCTGTAATATGGCGTACATGGGTAGCCCATGGGTAGAAACTGACTCTCCTGAATAAAAGCACTGTTTAACCAAAAATTCTGTGAATTCTTTTTTTTACAGCAGCTTCGTGGTGTCTGGGCACAAGATGTGATTGATGGAACTTGTGTGGCAGTAAATAACAAATACAGGCTAATGGCATTTGGATGTGCCAAGTAAGTTTCATAAGGCTGGTTCAATGGCGGGGGGCATGATTTCGTTATAAATCTTAAGTTTCTTCTTAGCACGTTGTGTTGGAGGAGCTGTAAAGATGAAAATGATCAGTCTTCCTAGAGATGGTATAATCTGCTCTGTGAAGAAGGTAAGAGGGAAATGGAAAGAAATGATTGCCTGCCTGAACTGCAGTTGAAATTGAAGCTTGCTGTTCAGCTCTGGAAAAAAATGAAAAGGTGGCTGGACCAGTAGCAAGAGTTGGAAAGTGGTGCTGCGCTACTAATCTCAAAGCAGGATTATAAAGTCAGTTGTAAGCAGTTAATTGTAATAGTATTGGACAAGAATGAGCACTTCGCACCCAGCTAAGAAAATGTTCTGTGAAATGTTGATTTGGTCAGGAAAAATGCTGCCGGTTTGAGTAACTGTGAATATTTATAAATCAGATGTTGCAAAAGTGCTTTTAGTTGTGGTGTTTTGCTTACTGCTCCTTCAAGACAATTCCTCCTGTATAGTACTAATATTTTACTGATAGCTGATCTAGACTGCAGTGCTTTTTTTAAAAAAAATGTGTATTTGTTTTTTAGAGTATTTCTAAACATCTGGGTAGTTTAGTCTTCAATCATCTCCTTCAGAAATAGTATTCTCGGTTGTAGTAACAATGCAGTGTGTTGGTGTTTGCCCCTGGAACAGTTAGTACAATTCATTGATCTTGGTATGTGCTAGTGTGCTTCTGATACAACTTCAGCACTGAGTGAATACTGGCTTCCCTCATGTATTGTCTTGCGGATGGAAGACATAAATTTATGTGGATTGTGTGTGTGTGTATTTTCAGTGAATGAAATAGTCTTAGTGGATTGGTTATTGTAGGACTGGTGTTTTGGATCCTTCACTGCCTTCTGGAAAGTCTCTTACAAATTTGTGTCATAAAGTTCTTTGAGTGTTACTTGACATGATGTTTCTGTTCTAGATAAATTTGGTATTAGTGAGAAAAAAGCAGCATTTATTAACCTCTTGAAACTGATGAGAAATCCAAACGGTCTGTAGTCTAAATGCATGTGTAATCTCTTCCAGCGGCTCTGTGCAGGTTTATACGATAGATACCACCACTGGCGCCATGCAGTTTTCTCATAAATTGGAGCTGACACCAAAACAATATCCTGGTGAGCTACTTTTATTGCTAGAATTTTCCAACTGTTTTATATTTCTGATATAAAAAATATTTTTATCTTTGCCTAGTTAACAACTACTTGTTGTTTGCATTATTACTGATGGGATTAATATTTAGTCTTGCACGTTTGTAGTAATGTACTGTTGCAGAATTGTTCTTTTAGCTGCTTGCTTGTGACTGACTTTTGGATGTGTTTCATCTGTGAGAGTCTGGGGTTGTTTTTGTGTTTGGTTTTTTTTTTGTGCTAAATATGAATCTGAGTTAGTAGTTTACAGACAGCGCTGCTTCTGGTTGTTCCTTTTTAAACACTGCAGATCTTAGTAGTTCCCACAGGTAGTCTTGACATTACTTTTCCATTACTCACCTGAGAAAATGAGAGATCGTTGTCAAAACAGATAATGAATATAGTAGAGGTGTGAATTAACTTGAAACAATTGACATGTAGGGTACAGAAAAAAATTTGAGTAATCCAGCACCCTGTCTGAACTGCAGTTAACAAAAGCTCAGTGGAATTTTTCGCGCAGTAATAAAGAGTATTGCAGGCTTGAAAGTGAGGAACATATGAAGTGGGTAAATGGCGTCCTCAGCTGAAAATGTGTGTGCCTGTTAGATTTCAACAAAAAAATAAAACCTGTAAATAACAGAGTTTTACGGTTGTGTTAAGTACCAAAAGAAGAGGTTTCAACGGTGACTATAAAATGTCAGAATTACAGTTCTGTGGTTGTGTCATTGCACAGTGTGTTACTGGCCTGTTTTCACGTGTTGTTAGTTTCCTGTGAAACCAGGCATGTATTGGAAATAAAAACGTTAATTCTTCACTTCCTGCTTATTTATTTTGAAATGGTCAGTTTGATGAATGCAGCAAAGAAGTTAATTGAAAATCAAATATTTCTTTACATATATTTTTGCTTCTACTCTTATGGTGAAAGCGCTTGAAGGACATTTGATGTTTTTCACATGGTATTTTATTGTCTGTTTTTAAACAGATATTTGGAATAAAACAGGACCTGTTAAACTAATCAGATGGTCACCTGATAGCTGTGTTGTGATGGTGACCTGGGAATGTGGAGGCTTGTCCTTATGGAGTGTTTTTGGTGCTCAGCTTATCTGTACTTTAGGAGGTGACTTTGCGTGAGTATCTTTAATGAAATTATAAAATGTTTCATTAGAAACTTTTGTTTTTCTAATTAAAAACGTTTAATTAGAAACTAAATCACTGAATTAGCTTTTAAAAATCTTTTCCATTATAATCATTCAGATACTGGAATCATTGAATAATATTTAGGAGAGGATTGTTTGAATATAAATGAAAATGTATTATTTTCTTTTTGTAGTGCTCTTTTTGGCCATAAAAATGAATTATCCTAAAGGCAGGCTTTAGCAGGCAAATATTAAAATTCCCTCAGTGTCAGTATGTATTTGCTGAAAATGTGCTAACACCCAGAAATCACAGTTCAGAGACTTTGTGCTCGACATCTGACAATTCCTTTGCCTTTTAGACAGTGTCATGGATCAAACAGGCTTTATAGTTTGAGGTGAGGTTCAGTATAGAACCATATGACAATAGAAAGATGGGAAGATAATTTCCTATTTTGGTGAAGTTGTTTCCAAACTCAAACTTACTCTGTTCTGTTTTTAAGGTATCAGTCTGATGGTGCCAAAAAGGACCCTCTAAAGATCAGTTCTATGGTAAATATGAATGTAAAAATACTGTAATAGGATGGCTATTAATTTTTAAAATTATTTTTAATAAAACAGCTTTTCACAAAATTCAGAGAGAATATGAACTGAAGAGAAGCTTAACTGCTGTTGTTTTAATACAGAATAATTAACATGAAATCTTGCTAGTTTGTCAAATCAGTAGATGTTGATAAATATCAAACACAGTCTTTAAGGCCTCTTTTACAAAGCGTGATGAATTTTGTACAATACTTCTATGACGTGATTTTATTTATGTATTGCCTGGTTACTATGAAGGTTGACAGTTTTACACATGCATCCCAAGCGGATGTACGTATTTGCAAGGACAGTACAATGTACCTTCTAAAAAACTCCAGAAACTGAAATTCTGATACTGTTGTATTTAATGGACAACAACCAATGTTGTTTTGGGATCAGGATTTTTTCATACCTGGTTCTGTTTGTGTCTTTGTTGCTTTAAGCTGCAAACCAAACAGTCTCTGTTACTTAGGTGAATGTCTTGTATAGTTACTTTTCATTTAATCCAACCAGGTTTACAGAAAAAAGAAAAGAATTTAAGCTAGATTCTTACTGTTGCTTGTGGGGTTTATTGCTACAGGTTACTTACGATTCCTATGATGATACATTTTAGAACTCCAAATTATATGGTTTTTTACCAGGCTCATGTCTATCATAAGATCAGTTACAGTAAGTTTCTGTAATTCTTGTTTTCTGAGAATATATAATGTTGGTTTTGGGTCTTTGTTATTATTATTCTTTTACATTCAGACATGGGGATCAGAAGGGTATCATCTGTGGGTTGTTGATGGGAATTCTTCAAACGTGAAGCCTGAAAGTGGTGGAATTAGTGAAGCTAGCCAATTTGGTATTCTGCAGTTTCATTTCATCAAGAGTGCACTCACTGTTAATCCTTGTATGGTAAGTTTTTTATTGATAAATTCCCTTATTTTAGAGCATATTTCCATTTTTCAGGTGATCTCTGAGTTATTTTCTTAACAGGTTTTAGGTCTGTTTTTCAGCCATTAGATTGCTCTTCCTTTTTTGTCATTAAGTCTTTGAAGTAGTGCTTTGAAAATATTGCTATGCCATACTCTAACGTAAAACCTACTAGTAGATAGTGATGCAAAACCTGAGAACTGCCTTAACGCTTATTTTTCGTATTGTTTATGTAGAACCTGTTACTATATTGATCGTGTGTTTTCTTTTATCTTCTGTACATGGAGTTGAAGGTTTCTTTTTGTTTTGTTTTTAATGTAGAGTAACCAGGAACAAGTCCTCCTGCAAGGAGAAGATCGCTTGTATTTGAACTGTGGAGATGCAACACAGGCTCAGAGTCCCAGAAATAGTTCAGTGCACTCTGAAGATAAGCCTACCAGGGAGAGAGGCCCATTTTCAGATGGCAGTTTAGATTCTCAGGGTTTAAGCACTTTACTAGGACACAGGCATTGGCATGTTGTACAGGTAATTGTCACTGGTTCCCTGTATGTGCTCTGTGCTTGCAAGAGTTTATAGGACTGGGATCTGCAGCTGATCTCATGACTCTGGCCTACCTTTTTCCTCTAGTGTGAGATCATTGACTTTTTATTGCCTCTTGGGTTACTGTCTGGTACAGTTTTTTCTTATTGCCAGATGGTGAAGGAATGTTGTCTGTCTCAGCCTTGTGGCTATGAGTTTGTGTCCTAGCCAATAAAAAAATCTGAATGTCTCTTTTAGTTCAGGAAGAAGTAGTTATATTAGCTTCCTGTGCTTTGAAAGGGAGAATAAGTGCAACATGCAATAAATCCTTTAGGGATTTGTTCTGTTATTTATGCAAATTGCGTTAAGCATATTCCACTGATGAATGCAGCCTTTGGACTTTGGCTGTATTTTCAAGTAGTGTTAGATGGCATCTATTTAAGCATGTAATTAAAACGTCACAATATTAAGCTTGCAAAGACATTATTTCCAGTGGTAGTAATGGCACAAATTCTACTTTTCTCTGTAATAAAGAGGAAAAAATAAATAACTTTTAATCTGTAATTCTAATGTGTCATCTTCCGTGCTTGATTTGGTAGGTATTTTTCTACATAGAAGGTCCACAAGTTGTTTTTGACATAGTGCATGAACTGATATTATTAAACAGCATGTGACTCTCGGAATGTATGTCAGGTTCTAGACATTGTTGAATTTGCACTTCAGCTGGCCATGTAACTCTTCAGTCTTCTGAAACTGGCGTAGGAAGGGGAAGTCCTCATTCTGTGTAGGAGTAAAACTGACACAATTGCAATTTCTGTGGGAACCAGGATGCCCAGGAGAACAGCCTGTGGCTGAGTAATGAGGGTGCTTACTGCCTTGTATCAGACCAAGTACTGGCATTTGAACCTGGATTTGTATTATCCCATGTGATATGAAGAATCCAGGATCAAGATTTAATTTGACATATTCCAGTCAAGTGCTCTCATAACAAGAATTTTAGATGTGCTGGTGTGTATTTCTGATGGGATCAGAAATTTCACGGAAAGTCCCTCTTGAATGTTGCATTTATCAGAACTTGTATGTTCCTGTGAAAGGTTCTGATGGAGTAGAAGTATCTAGGGGTGGAGAAGAGCAAATTTTAACGTTTCATCTCTAATGTAGTATTAGATGGTTTGTGTTGTTAATGCATTTCTATATTTCTTGCATTAAAAACAGGCTAATGTTTAGGCTTCACTAACTTTCTTGAGGGGGGGAAGTAATTGTATTTAAAAAAGAAATCCTAACATTAAAAATCTTTAAACTGGATATTGTACAAATTCCTTCAGAACATTGTAATTTATCACTACTTTAGTAGTGCTTGGTATAGTTATGTGGTTTTGGTTTTCTCTTTTTTTTTTTTTAGATTCATAGTACGTATCTAGAGAGCAACTGGCCTATAAGGGTGAGTTGTTTTAAGAATATGTTCTTGTTTCTTTAAAAGTATTCAGTTTTCATAACTGTCTCTTACGGTTGGATGAGCTCTGTAAGATGAAGTAATTGTTTTAAATTACAGAAAGAAGAATATGTGTTGGGCAGTAAAGTAGAAAACATGAAGATGCTTCACAAGTTTTGACTCTGACTTATTGCCTTGTAGTGTTGTACTTGGGTAGGATATATCATTCAAAAAAGTTTTGTCCTGAGGTTCTGGTTTTTTTTCTCTTTGAACAGTTTTCAGCTATTGACAAGCTTGGACAGAATGTAGCTGTTGTTGGCAAGTTTGGTTTTGCACATTATTCTTTACTCACCAAAAAATGGAAGCTGTTTGGAAATATTACGCAGGTGAGACGTTATAGTACTTTATTCAGGTGTACTGGGGTGGTTGTATTTGTTGGAATGTGACTCTTGGAGAAAATTTAAAAATGTCTTTTTCAAATAAACAACTTGTAGACACACTTGGAATTAGGGGTGCTGGTTTTGCATGCGTTTTTCATAAAATGGCTGAAATGGTTATCTTGTGGCTTTGGCACAATAATTTGTGTCTGATTATTAAAAGGTTTCCAAATGTGAGTGTATAGTCAGACACTTCCACATGTCTTATCTGTGATCTGGTGAGAAACGTAGCTCTGGATGCCAAGCTTGTAAATTCTGGCCAGAAGCAGAAAGGTAATTTGAGAGAGTTCAGGGATGCCAGTAGCATAAGGAACTGTGGAGCTGTGTTTTGTGGGATGGTGTTTGTCCTTCACATATTATTCTTTAGTGCTTTGTTTTTTTTAAACAACAAAAATTTCATATACATAGATTGTTTTGCCACTATCAGTAAAGCTTATAGAGATCATGTATGGTTTTCAGAAATTACCCATAGAATGTATGTGTGTATGTATATGCATATAAAAATACATTTATATATGTCATTTTCTTTTCAGGAGCAAAATATGATGGTAACAGGTGGCTTAGCATGGTGGAATGACTTCATTGTGCTTGCATGTTATAATTTAAATGACCATCAGGAAGAGGTGAGGTATTTTTCTTCAAAGTAAATAAATCATGCTTAGAATGTCTGATCTGTTCAGTAATACAGTAATATTATAAATATGAAAAGCTTGATACATAGGTTGCTTTAGGTCATGTTCAGAAATTCTTTATTAATACATAAGTAATTCTTTGCAGAAAAGCTTACTATTGCTATTAAAAACTATTTTCTGCTGACTACCATGAAGGTACTCATTGTTCTGAAAACTTTATGACATTTTTGCATGTTAGCATGAAGCCTATTTTGAGTTATCTAGTTGCAGTATTGTGGAACACTTTTGTAAGGCCTTAAATTAGATAGGCAGAAGACGTTTACTTACTCTTTGCTTTTTAAAATTGATAAATAGAACTCCTTCCTTATGTTTGTTGTTCAGCACTTCAGATTTGGCTGTACTGTTCTTTATCCACTTTGGATGCAGTAATAAAAAGCAACGGATAAAACATTTGATGAAAGAAAAAGCCAGTAATGTATCTTGCTAGAAATCCTTGACAGCCATTCCACAAAAACAAAAATAATTGAACACGGAATTACTATTAGTTTGCTGGTAAAACAGAACCTGTATTCAAACTACTCTTTTTCCTTGAAGCTGAGAATCTACCTGCGAACATCTAATCTTGACAATGCATTTGCACACATCACCAAAGTGCAAGCAGACACGTTACTACTGAGTGTCTTCCGGGACATTGTGATATTGTTCAGAGCAGATTGTTCCATTTGCCTTTACAGTATTGAGAGAAGGCCTGAAGGGTGAGTATCAGTATCTAAATGCTTTTGTACTTGTAAAGCTCTTCTGAGTAAATTCTAATGATAATATAAGGTTATTGAATAACTTGTGGAGTCAGATTTTATAAAATACAGAGGGGTAAGTGTTATCTGTATGCACAAGTGATAGTTCAGGAGTGTTGTCATTTGCGTGCATGGAGATAACCATGTTAGGTGTTAAGGTAGTGACTGAGACATGCGTGTTTCCAGGTGTCTGTACAGACATGTTCTAGCTGATAGGAGCTTGAAAACTGAATATAAACAGAAGGTACTAAAATGCACCCACATATTTGAATATTTCTACTAAAAAATGTTTGTAACATTAGGAGTTGGGGTGGGTGTGGCAGAGTAGCAAAGATGAAGAGAGGAAAAAGTTTGGTCTGTGGTATGGTTGTGAGGAGCTATTTTGGTGCAAAAGAAGTAGCAATATAAGAGCCAGATACTTTCAGACAGTTGAAGATTAATGAACCTAAGGAGGACAAAGATTCCCGGGTAGTTTTCAAAGTGCCTAAGCAGGTGATTCTTCTTACAATTATGGTAACTTGGCTTCAGCAAGAAGGGACCTTTTTTTTTAGCAGAATGCAAGCTGTTGCTTTAGGGGAAAATATTTTCAATGGTTTTCAAAGGGAATTCCAACAAATTCCAAACCCCAGAAATGTCTTGTCTTCTTGAAAGGTGAATATAGTCTTATCCTGAAGTATCTGATGTTGTCTTCTGTCACTTCGTGGCTGTATTCCCCAAAACTATCAAGATAAAGTAGCCTAACTTGGGTTTATTTGGTAACTTTATGTAGAATAGATGCGTGGGCCTGTGTGATTTCTAGTTAAAGGAAATTTGGTCTGTAGATTAAACTATTTTCTGAGGTTAAGTTGCTTAATTTCATTAGGTTTACTTCAGGATACTAATTTTTATGTTAAATACTATTTTAAAATCACTGAACATAGTCATCTTTCCTTTCAGTCTTAACACTACTGCCAGTATCCAAGTTCTTCAAGAAGTGTCCATGTCTCGGTACATTCCTCATCCTTTTCTTGTAGTGTCTGTTACGTTGACATCGGTGAGGACAGAGACTGGCATCACCTTGAAGATGCCTCAGCAGGTAACAGGTCTATAGTACCCAAAATTCAAAAGAATCAGGGCCTGGATTTTTTAGCTCAGTCCTCAAAGGTTACCTGGCTCATGAATCAGTGGTTCTTCTAGGGGGTAGAATGTCGAATGTGTTTTTTCTGATGCTTGTTATATAGACATTTTATGTGTGATTTGGGGTGGTGGTGGAAATAAACTCCAAACTCTTACTTCTATTTCATATCTTCTCTTGTCATCTTGTAAAGTTTGGGGCCAAATCTTGGAGGAAAAATGAAACTTCACTATGTCAAGGGTGTGTTTTTCTATTGTGTATTAAAAGTTTAACGTCAGAGCAATCCATGACATTAGGAAGTGCCGTTCTTGCAGCAATAGGTCCATTACTCAAAGAATAAACAGAAAAAAGGAAAAGATGGCGTATGACCCTATAAGGTGATGTCTAGTCAACTTCGTACTACACTAAAATAAAGTAATATAATCTCTTCCACTAGTTATGTCAGGAGATAGGCCAACAGCCAAACAACGACTAAAGTGTGAAGGTGAAGCCCTGTCTTAACTCCAGGAAATGATTCACGCCACTGAATGCATGGTGCAAATGGAACTTGGATTTTTGTTATCTGTGGTGTAAACAAATCAAGCTTAACTATATGAGTAGCTGCAATATGAAGCATATTTTCTTGTTGGAACAGCTACCCTAAGATAGTTTGGAAGTTGCATTGTCTGTGAGGCAAGCCCATAGACGTGCAAAGGTGCATATTTTTCTCCGCATACCAAAGCCACTGGCAGATATGAACGCAATGGCACAGATGCAAAATCTGAAGGTTTGTGCTTGCTTCCTTCAGTTCATTCTAATTTAGTGTCCCACAATGCTGAACATGTGTCCTGAGACTTTGATACGATCTTAGACAAGGGCATAAAAGGCAACATGCTTGTGGTTTTCTAGTCCATCTTGCTGTGAAACAATATCCTTATTCCCAAACTGCCTGACCTATGGTGTTTCCTAATTTTGAGAAAATGCTACTGAAACTTTAGAGCACTAGTCATATTTTAAACTTAGCTTCAGACTGGACAAATATTACCCCTTTTCTCTCTAAATAAGAACTCATATCTTCAAACTTTGTCAATCCTTCTGATAAACAAAAAGTATTAATGTTAGTACTGAATATGAGACCGCACTGTAGACATGTAGACTGACTTAGTGGAGTGTGTCAGCCTTTTCAGTGTTGTTACCTACTGTTGACCTTAACCCTTGGTGCTGTAAACTTACCATACAGGCCCTCTACCCACCTCATGCACAGCATGGTATTAGCTCCAGTGACTTGGTGTAAAATTAAAATGAAACAATTCTGAAATAAATCTTCGGAAAGAATACTTTGCTTTGTTGATGTACCTAACTAGAAAGACTTTTCTCTGACTGCAGCTTCTAAAAGTTCAAGATGCTGTACAAGTGTGGCTAAACTTTTTTGGCTCAGCTCTTTTTGGCATTTTTTTACCAGTGTTAGTCTTTGCAGTCAGATACTGGCAATCATATAGTGGTGATACTGATAAGAACACAGAGCTCTATTTTTTTTAAAATACTGGTGGCTTGCCCTTGCCAACAGGCATAGTTGGAAAAAACCCATGTCAAATAAACATGTGGAATGAATCTAGTGAACAAAAAACCTTCTGGTATTTACTCCTTTGCACAAGTGCTACATAAATCAGTCTATCCGTAGGTACACAGTTCTGCTTGATTTTTCTGGGTCATTCTGCGCTGAATTTGGTTGTTAGTCATCTCTGTATGGCAGTGCAGTTCATTTACTCTTTTTATTCTGGGTTTGTATTGTGGTTAGGGGTGAAGCGATGTATTCAAAAAACTTAAATAATTTGCATGATGCTCTTTTCTCCTTAGGCTTGTGAGGCTGAAAGTATTATGCTAAACTTAGCAGGACAGCTCATCATGTTGCAAAGGGATCGATCTGGACCCCAGATACGAGATAAGGATAATAATCCTAATCAAAGGAAGCATGTGAGTAAATATATGTGGCATATTATATATGGCTTCAAAGATGTCAGTGAATGAAGAAGTTGTGGAAGGGAGTGGTCAGGCATGAAGAAAAGGGGTCTATAATGCAAGGCAATGTCTACACTTACAAGCTGAATTGTTCGCTGGAAGTAAATCGCTACTCCTGTGATTTTTTTTTTTTCTCTCTCTAAGAACCTGTGAAACGTTATCACTTAATTGTGTGAATGTTTAACTAAAGTGTTTAGTACTTTTGTTTACTACTTGTATTGCAGTGAAAGATACGAGCTTTAAGCATAAAGGTCCTGTGCAAAATTTGGCTTGCTCTACTGACAGAAAATCTCCAGTCTATCTAAAACTGCTATGGGTGTTTATGGAACATTATCTTTTTTTGCAGAGTATGCTTACAAAGTTCCTAAAAACAACAGTAGTAGAAACCAGTGACTGAACTTTTCAATTTTTCTGTGCTGATAAAAACCACTTCTGCATGAAACAAGCACTTCAGGAGAATGAAATCTGAAAAGTTTAGATGAAGAGTTGTTTGCAGCTCAGTCAAACACTAGCAAATTTGGTGTTTGCAGTACTTCTGTGAGTTCTAAGTTGGACTCTTGGGCTAACTGAAGAAGCAGAGAGCAGGTTTTTATTTTCTGTCCTTTTGCTCACCCCTCTGGCTTCCTGACTAAGTATAAGGAAAAAGTGAAAGAAATGTCTTTTGAGTTTACGTAAGTAATAAGTGGTGTTTTCCCAGGTGCTGGGTTGCAGTTAAGGGATAAGCAGTTTTGTTTCTTCTTTGTTAGAAAAATAACATTTTTTGAAGAGAGTAGTTCTTGGCTGAAAAAGGTGTTCTGGTGAAGAGGCTAAAAAAAAAAAATCAAAAAAGGAATAATGAAGTCTGAAGTTGTTTTTCTTTTTTTTTTTTTTTTTTCCTTTTTGTGCTCCAGTTGTCCTAGCCCAGTCTGTTGAAAATGTATGGACTACTTGCAGGATCAACAAACAGAAACGCCACTTATTGGAGGCTCTGTGGCTCAGCTGTGGTGGGGCAGGTATGAAAGTCTGGCTTCCCCTGTTTCCCAGAGATCACCGAAAACCACATTCCTTTCTGTCAAGACGGATCATGCTGCCTTTCCACATCAACATATACCCATTGGCTGTTTTGTTTGAAGATGCCTTGGTTCTTGGTGCTGTTAATGACACTGTGCTCTATGACTGTTTATACACTCAAACCAGTGCTAGAGAACACTTAGAGGTTCTCTTTCCTTTCTCCATTGTTGAGAGAACCTCTCAGATCTACCTCCATCACATTTTACGCCAGCTCTTGGTTAGGAACCTCGGTGAACAAGCCTTGCTTTTGGCCCACTCCTGTGCCACATTACCATACTTTCCTCACGTACTAGAACTGATGCTTCATGAAGTGCTGGAAGAAGAAGCTACCTCGCGGGAACCCATTCCCGACCCTCTGCTTCCCACTGTGGCGAAGTTCATTACAGAGTTCCCCCTCTTCCTGCAGACAGTTGTTCATTGTGCTAGGAAGACAGAATATGCCCTGTGGAATTACCTTTTTGCTGCTGTTGGAAACCCGAAGGACTTATTTGAAGAGTGCTTAATGGCCCAGGACTTGGACACAGCTGCCTCTTACCTTATTATCCTGCAGGTAATGGTACCTCATAAATTGCAAGAGAGACGATTGTAATGGTTTAACCCAGCAGCCGGCAACTAAGCACTTACTAGTGTTGAAGTATTTAAAAAGTATTGTCATACTAAAGTTACACATGCTAAACAAATTTTTAGTTTAACAGCTTTCTATTGAGATTATGTCCAGTTATGAAGTGGGGGAACATCATGCAATGTAAGTAGTTAGTTTACTGTTGTAAAAAGGAAAATCATGGCATGAAATCTGCTTATTCTGATCTCTGGTATACTTGAATATTACATGATGTCACTCCACTTAAGAGGACTTTTGTTGCTCCATGGCGAAAGCAAATTACTGAATTACACTTTGTTACTTGCAGAATATGGAAGTTCCGGCAGTTAGCAGACAACATGCTACTCTCCTATTTAATACTGCCTTAGAGCAGGGAAAGTGGGATCTTTGTCGTCATATGATCAGATTTCTCAAAGCCATTGGCTCTGGAGAAACAGAGACACCTCCAGCTACACCAACAACTCAGGTTTGTGATGAAAATAGTAAATACTGTGCATCAAACCATGTATGATTAATCTTGCTATTATCTAGCATGTTTGCTCCTTTAACTGTGTTTGGGTTTTCTTGGTTTTAGGAACCTAGTTCAAGTAGTGGCTTTGAGTTCTTCAGACATCGCAGCATTAGTTTATCCCAATCAGCAGAGAATCTCCATAGCAAATTTAACTTGACAAAAACACTGAGTATGCCCTCTGGCCCATCTGGAAAAAGGTAATTGGTAGTAATGTCCTCTCCTTCCCCACTGTATTAGGTACTGTATGAACTCTTACCAATTTAAGTTACAGAATTACATTATGAGATAGTTAGATTTGTCATAGTCTCCCTCCACCTCCTTCTGCATTTGTGTTTTACTGACTCTTTGAATGTGTGCACCTCTCTTACGTTCTTGGGAGAATATATTCTCACACGTGTAAATACATGTGTGTGTGTGTTTGTGTGGATATATAGACAGACATGCTTACATCGATATTGTTGACCAAAACCCTCTGAATCCACTGGATGCACATGTAGTAATTTAAATAGCTAGTGAGACTGCCTGCCTTACATTTGAAGGATCTCTTTTGATGAAAGATATGTCTTGAACAGCTCACAGTACTGCAGCGTCACAGTATACATTGCACTGTGACAGTGTGAGCATCTTGATCTAGTACTGTGTTGCCAAGCCATAAACAGAGATTTTTACACTTTCAGATTAATCCCTCTCGAGTTTTGATAGGAAGAGTCCTAGACTAGTACTTGGCTTGTTCTCTAAACCTGTTTCTCAGAAGCCACTTTGCAGTGGCATCTGCCTTTTATCTCTCCTTCTTTACTTTTTTCCTGGATCATTAATAGTTTAATACTCTACGGACATTCCTTCTGTTGTAACTTCTTTCCCTTATGTCACTTACCTGTTGACAGAGCGGGATCTTCCTAGAGAGCATAAATAGCAAGGAATGGTGGAAAGTGCTTTTGTTGGTATACAGAAGGCTTCCACTACTACTCTGGTCACTCGATGTACTGTGGTTGTGGCCAACAGCCTTTGCGACTTGATTTTATAAGTCTTCATGTCACTGTTATCTGGTCTGTCTATAGGTGGAGTAAAGACAGTGACTGTGCTGAGAACATGTACATTGACATGATGCTGTGGCGGCACGCTCGGCGTCTGCTGGAAGAAATCAAGCTGAAAGACCTTGGCTGCTTTGCTGCACAGTTAGGCTTTGAGCTGATTGGCTGGCTGTGCAAGGAGAGAGCCAGAGCTGCCCGCGTGGAGGATTTCGTGTTTGCGTTGAAGAAGCTACACAAGGATTTCCTCTGGCCATTTCCAGTCATACCGGCTTCATCCATTAATTCACCTTTCAAGAATGGAAAGTACAAGACAGGTGCTGTAACATCTGAGTAGATTTGGACTAGGTTTCTCTCCTGTACTCCTGCACCCATCAGTCTGAATCTTCCTTCCTCAGTTCAGCCAAGCAAGAACGGGCTGAAGCTTGCCACCTGCACAGCTCTCTCCCACTGGGTGTGTTTTCGGAAGGGATTCCGTTTAGCAGACAGCATTTCTTGTGTAGTCTCATTACACTGCTGTTTCTGTTGAGGGTTTCTTCTTCCATCCTCAGCTGCACTGAACTGGGATCACTTTGTGCAGTTGTTGAGTTGAACATGGATATTGCTCTTTGAAGTAAATTTTGCTGTAGAAAATTACTAAAATCAACATTTTTGTATATCTTTAGATCAGTATTTGATTAACTTTTGTATATTTAAAAAAGAAATGTTACTAATATCTAACATTTTCTTTATGTTAAAGGGTAAGAATTTTGAGCACTTGCTGTAAACATCCTTTTTATGAATAATCTATCAGTTCACCAGTTTATCTTTTTAGGGCAGAGTTGATACCAGCTGCCAAGTCTTCCTCTTTTTGGTAATAGCAGCACAATTATTTAGTTCCATTGACGCTAACAATCAGTTGATACTACTTTTATGCCAGTACTGACATAAAAAACTGATTAGAAATTCCTGAAATACCTAAACTTGCTGCATTCCCTTGATTTTTGTGATGTCTCAGCAAACTAATTGACTTAGACACAAGTTTTAGCTTCCTGAAATACCTGGAGAGAACTTTAAAAATTTCCTTTTTGATGGTTACATGACTTTCCTTTGGTGGGTTCTTTTCTTTAGCTGTGGGGGAGCAGCTGCTAAAATCTCAGTCTGCAGACACCTTTGTAAACATGGAAATGGACACAGGGATTTCAAACACACCTCGGAGTCGCAGCTGGCTTGGCACTATCAGCTCCTCCCAGAGAGAGATTGACACAGTTTCGTCTCATGGACCACACATGCAAGATGCGTTCCTTTCTCCTTTGCTAAGTAAAGGTTAGTCACTCTTACTTCTGTCTGCTTGTCTGAAAAATGCAGCTGGAAGTATGCACTTATATTTTGATATTTGCATGCCACTGCTGTAGTGTTGCTTCTCAACTGCTCATAACCGTAATTCAGAGAAGAAAAAAAAAAAAGAGGACTTGTTGAAAAGCGAACTGAAATTTTTGCAACAGAACAATAACGCCCATGTCATACATCTTTAAGTACTTGAAATGGAATATGGAATTGGTATTTGCTGAAGTTTCTGTCTGTGGTGGTAGCTTGAAATTTAGTGTTTTTACAGTCTGGCTGGCAAGAGTGTTCCAAGTTGTTTGTGGATTTTTTTTTTTTTATCATCTTTGTCTCTTGCACAGGTCAGCCCCCTTGCACTCGTTGGCACTGTTACAATGCATGAACTTTCTGGTTTTGGATTTCTTCAGAAAGATATTAGATACATTCTTTACCGAGGAAGTTGAGGAAATTATAGTTCCATATAGTTTTCTTTTTTTCCTATGGCTTTGTTAAAGTTGCTTTTCTGAAAGCTCAAATGTATGATCAGCTTATGAAAATACAAAGGGGAATTTTATTCTCTGTATCTTTTCTGACCACAGTCAGAGACAGGAAATGTTTGTCTAACCATTATTCTCTTTTATTTTTATTTTTTTATTTTTTTTTATTCCCTCTTGTCCTCAAGCATAGAGCAATATTTTCAACAGTATCTACATCATGTGATTTCCACTTCATTAGGGGAAAGACCTAAGTACCTAAGTGTGAACTATGGTCTCCCCAAGATGGTAGGGCTTCCTGTGAGAGTCAGAGCACTTGGGAGCTGCTACTTAACAAGTTTACAGGCTTTAAAATATGAAGAAAGAGTGAGGTTCTCTCCCTCCGCTTGGGCACTGCCTCATTCTATTTTCACTCGTGTTTCTCTTGTTCATTACTTCTGGAGACTGCAAGAATGTATTAGCTTTAAGTAAGTTTGTTACAGAACTCTCCAAAAAAGCATAATTTAAATGAGGAGAGAGGAGAATTTATTTCTCTTTTCATTGCACTATCTTGTACTGCTGTCTGCCACTACTGCTGTTTCTATAAACAAGTATCTCATTTGTTTCTGAACTGGATGAAGACCTTTGAGTTCAATGGACTTTGGTGTGCATTTTTTACCAGTTTATTTCTAAAGTGAAACTAAATTAATAGTCTTTAAAATGTTGTGAGCTGAATTCTAATAATAATAATTTTGCACATAACTAAATCAGCAGTGGTGTTTATGGGCAAGAAGCTAATGAATTAACTTTCTGACTTTCTAAACATTTTCCACAGAAAAGATGCATCTGCTTTAGTATGGAAACTGTTCTGGAGGGTGGGTGCCTTTATGACTCCTCACCTCTATAATGGTTTTAGTTTTGCTGCTACTGTGCCTGTGAAAATTCTGTGGCTACATCTACTCTTCAGATTTTTATTAGAAACACTTACTTCTTTTTGTAATTTGTGCAGGTAAATATTAACATTACCATTCAGAATCTCCAGGGTTTTGTATGAAAAAATAACTTGCTATTGCATCTTCATTTTTAACAAAGTTAAAGGTTGAGAAAGCAGTATCTCTAGACAGACTGCAACCCTTCCTACAGACTTCATTCTAGGATTATAGTATGCAAGAGGCTGTCACCAGGCTCTTACAATGATTGCTAGCACATCTTCAGGATCCCTTATTGATATCATTCTGCAGAATTATTTGCAT